CCCGCAAGAGCCATCCCGGAAGATCTTGCTAAAATCTCAGTCGACTGACGCTATGCATAAACATGTACATGCATGCGATTTTCGTCGTCCATTCATTTCCGAGGGTGGAGAGGAGGTCCGAGTACGAAATGAATGATGTTTTTTCAGGGATGACTAATCACTTTTGCGATGACCCCTTATTGCATCAATTTATCGTCTGAACTGCACAATTGAGTCCCACTTCTATTATGTTGGGTCCAGATTTCAAAACTCGTGAAGTTCGAAGCGAAAAGCAGGCCGATGAAGGGACGCCAGTAATTCAGTCTAATCCGGTGTCATGGAGAGGGACCGATGAACCGGCAACAAGAGAATTCAATACGCATGCTACTCTTCAGTTCATTGCTGGGGAAGACTGCTCAAGGCCACGTCACTCCGGCAATTCAATGTTCAAATCAGCAGCAACACTTGCAAACGTATTCCTATCAGCTGACCAGCAAGTTACCAGCCATCAGCTCTTCAAATAATTCCAACTTAACAAAGAGAGGAGATGGACAGATCGGAAAGTATCATGGCAAGTTCAGGACTACACACGTCCAGCCCTATGTAACAACAGTTGAAAGTGCGTGCCATGGTATATTTTCGATGGCATATCAAGAACCAGCTAATGTGGACTGGGAGTCCATTTGCATCTTCCGATCAGCTGCTACAAGTGCCGTGAGCCAATGGCAAACACGTTTGACAGAGACTACTACCTCTACTGAATGCAACTTTGAAATGGCAGAGATCTACAAGCACGTTATCTTATCTATCAATACAGTTGTATCCTCGTATGACCATGTGAAGTGTGAGGTCGTACTGTACTGCAGACGCGTCTACGACCTGGTTGGAAATGTACGCAACAGTTCCCACCCTCTTGACCAGAGATCGCACACACCCTAGGGTTTTGATGGGTTTGTACGACTCCCAGCTCTTGACTTTTGTTGGGTGAACGAGACGCATGCACAGTTTTCTTAGGGTGAGTACTTTTTCATGTAGTACTGAATGCGGCAAGCAGGACTCGCCCATCCGCCAATCCCCAAATGGATCTACTCTAATGGTTGCGGAGGTAGGGGTGCTCTGGCGGGATTTTGCGACATACACAAGCGCGCACACACGCACACAATATACACACGCACGCACACACATACACACGGACGCACGCTATGTCGCACGCGTCTTGGGCATGGCTTCGAGAATACAAATAATAATTTAATGTTATAATTTATAGTATCCAAATGTTAGAGCAGCTTTACAAAACCTACCGTTCAATACCGGATCATCTTGTGACAGTTTCCTTGCAACACCCATGACTTGACCCCACTTCGTCTTGACGTCGGAAAATCGTTCACACCGGAGTTGGGACACGACTCATTGAAATCCAGGCCTATCTGCAGCTGGGAGCAGCACAGAGCTGATGGACGTCAGCAGCGGCTGTAGAACAACCATAAACGAGTCTTCTTTCTCCGCAGTCAGGCGGGACAGCAGCTTTGCAACGCAAGCTTCTTGCCGTCTGTGGGTCTTTAGCGGCTGGGATTCACAACGCTCTGTAGAAACCGTACTGCACTCTAGCTCTATCAACCCACAAGTATTTATACCAATTCATGATTATTCGCAACTTTTTATGCAGTACGCGCACCAGATCAGAAGCCGCTAAGTAGCAAGGTTGAAAGTTTCAAGACAAAATTGAAAAATATAATAACATAGAAAATTAGAATTCAAACCATACCTGTGGCCCAAGCCAAAACAGACTGAGCGTTCACGCGAAGAGAACGTAGATCTACGTCAGCTGAGGTTTCCTTAGGATCAGGAGGTGATTCTTGACCCGGATCTGGATCGCGATCAGCAGCACTCTCTGCCTCCATCACGATTATCAAATGCAACTAATTACTTGGAAAAGTAGTTCATTCTTCTTCTTCTTTTCGACCTACGATTTCCCACGATCCTATCGATCCTGCACGAGTCAAGGAGTACGAGTGCACTCCCATGGCATAAGTATGCGGAGTAGTTGGTTTATAACTCAGGGCACGCACCGGGAATATCTGAGGGAAAGGTGTGAGAAAGTGCCGCGAGTCAATCATAGTCGGCCCGGAAGGCCTCGTGCCGCCTCCCGGGTCTATACGACTCCCTGGTTCTCAGGGTATCAAACAAAATTATTTCAAATACAGTGAAATTGTTCGTGGACATTATAGCGTAACTTCTAGTTCCCTGGTCCTTTTCTTTGCTATAAATTAATCCTTTGCTCTCTAGCCGCCGGCGATTCCAACAGTGAAATTGTTAGTTCATATTTATGTGGGTATGTGGGGGGGGGGGGGGAGTTAAACATATTTCTATATAAGGGACCTGCAACTGTAATATCACAGTACAGTAGATAGCAAATATGTAGAAAACAGAAATGCATGTTCCCATCATTGTACATGGACGGGCGCAGCAGGCCGAAGCTATCAGCCAGAGCAGGATTTACAATCGCCTAGAGATACTTGAGCTATTCCAGTATTCTCCGTGATCTGTCCCATTCCACAATTGTTCATGCCACCATTATTTCTCGTAGTATCCATGTGCATAATTCGAAGACCATCTCGGATTCTTCAGCAATTTGTGCCACGGCAAAAGACACCGCTTGACTCGGTCACTGGGGCTGTCAAACTTCGCATCACAAATGAACTTCAATTTCTAATCTGGTTCAAGTATATGTACTGCCATGACTTGACCATGCTTCATCCACAGCTGGGCGAAGATTGTGGCGTTGAATTCCATAGCGCACCTTCTTGCTGCCATGCAGGAGTATGATGAGAGAAGGGAACATATTTTTACTAAAAAAACAACAGCCACTGAAGAGGATAGCATTAGCAATAGCCCTGGGTGAATTTCCTGCAGGTACACGTTGTTGGTAGGTCTACTGGTCGGTCTCCATATCGTCAAGTTCAGAAATCACCTGTAGGCTGTACTACACATCTTGCAGAAGGGATCGTGATTGAAAAATGTTCTGATCATAAAATTCACTAAACTGAGGGCGAGACAAATAGTCAGTACTCCCCGATTCCGTCTAGCTGCTTTGATCAAGTGATGCTAACAAGCTCCCCGTTGTTACTTCCAGCAGCTTCACTTTCCCTGCGACAGCGGCTATTAACTTTTCTGTCCATCGTCGACAATTATCACAGATTCAACATTCTACATTTGTCAGCACTGCACTGGGTGCATATGTCTCGAGACGAGTTTAGCGGATCAACAACGCTTTGCTGGAGATCAATTCTCCTCTGGAGGACCTTCAGGGTACCTGGAAGGGTATAGAAGACGGGATTGCTCACGACGTTGAGAAAACATAGAAAACAACCTCCTCTTCGATTGAAAATTGGCGAAAAAGTATGTGAAATGTGTGTGCGCAGATGCATTTCCACTGGCAAGCTAATCCCTCATTACGTCATCAGCGCTCGCTCGCCGAAATTCAAAAGTCGTCTCCCTGCTCGACTCGATCTCTTCTGGAGACTCGTTCTTGTTCGAGGGGTCTTCTCTTTCACCAACCTTCGTCTTGGCATCGAAAACTCGGCGTCGAAACAGAAGCCGGAGTGCCCCTTTAAAGCCACGGTCCTCAAGCCAAATTGACAGATTGGTAACGGCGGTGCTTAGAGAGGTGCACACCACTGCACGACTCCCAGAGGCCTCGAGAGCGACATCGTCCGCAAACTCTTGATGAACGACGGGACGTGGAATGCAATTATGGATATCGCGAATATCGGTATATTCGCAACATCAGTGAAAAGAGCAGAAAAGAGCAGTGGGCCGAGAACGGAGCCCTATGGCACGCCTCGACTGCACTGTGTGTAGCTTGACATACTGCGGCCAACAACTACACACTGGTACCGGTCGCTGAGGTAACTAGCAAGCCGGGAATTCGCATTGCCCGTCACACCCATGTTAGAGAGCTCTTCCAGCAGCAATTTGTGCTTGACAGAGTCGAACGCTTTAGACATGTCGACAAACGCTATGCCTGTTTCTTTCCGCTCATACTTGGCTATTAATCAGCGGTTTACCGCTAGGACAAGGGCGTCCTCAAGGCTGTGTCGCCTCCTGTATGCAACCTGCGAAGCAGGGAGGAGATCGTTTTCCATTATGTATGACATGAGTTGGGCTTTCACTAATTTCTCCAGTAGACGAGATATAATAGGCAGGCGAGAGATAAGCCGATAGGAAGCAGCTTGACCAGGATCAAGGCTACCACCCTTGAACAAAGGAAATACATTAGCAAGCTTGAACTGACGTGGAAATCTGCCCGTCGAGAGCGAAGCGTTGAATGTCATGCACAGAGACGGACCTAATTCTGCTGCAGGTCGCGGGAACGCTTATGTTGGGTTAGCTTTTGGGCTAACCCTAGTAAGTGATGAGACCGATGCGCTGCTCTCTATCTCATTCTAGCTGCGACTGAGCTGGCTTTACACGTGCACTCAACTGCTGCGCATGCGCGCCCGAATCGCCTTGGGTAGCTCTTGCTGCGCTGACTTTGGCTTGCGCTTTCCTTTGCAGTGTCACTGAGCAGCAACTGGAATTTGTTTGCCTTGTAAATAGTTCGTACTTTTCTTTTTTTTTCTTTTTTCTTTCCCGTTCGACTCTTTCCCTCAAACCAGTCAGTACTTTTCTTTTCTCCCCACTTCTTATTGCTTACCCATGCAATTATCAGCAGCTATGCTGCATTCATTGCATGCAGCCCAGACAGTGTCAGTACCATTTTCAGGATTTACAGAGATCTTGGACGAGCCGGATGAGCCTCAACCAAAGCGCGCAATGCTCAGCAACCTGCAGGATCCGCGCAATTTGCTGAGGTTTCCGATCAAGACGTAGGAAAAATCCGTAGGAACAGAACAGACAGAATGCCTGATGCCCAGTCGACAATGTCAATGGCACCGCGAGAAAAAAAGCACTATGGACTACTACAAAAAACTGTACCAGAAAACAATCACAAAACACAATGCAGATGTGTCTGTCATGTATCTCTTTATTTGGCTTGGGTGCACACGGGAAACACGTTCCAGTCACTCATACTCGGCCAGTACCGCTGTTCATCCAGCCCTTGCCTCTATCGCGGCGCGGGCTGGATTCCGCGGTACTGCCCTCGTACTCGTAAAGGAACCTGTAAATGTATGCAGGACTGTACATGTACATTCAACTATGGTCCCGGTTGACGTGTGACTGCAGGGGATATAATATGTATACGCACATGCACACACGCATACACAAACATGTTCAACATAAAGAAACACGTCAACACAAACAACGAACGAACAACGTATAAGAGAGAGTAAATTGAGAGAGAGAGAGAAGAGAGAGAGCGAAGAGAGAGAGATAGAGAGAGCGAAGAGAGAGAGAAAGAGAGAGCGAAAGAAGAAAGATAGAGAGAGAGGAGAGAGATAGAGAGAGAGAGGAGTGAGAGAGAAAAGAGAAGAGAGAGAGAAAAGAGAGAGATAGAGAGAGAGAAGAGAGGAAGAGAGAGAAAAGAGAGAGAGAGTGCTAGAGAAAAAGACGGAGAGCTACAGCTAGAGAGAGAGAGAAGGCCAGCTCTAAAGAGGGCTAGAGAAAGAAAGATAGAGAAAGAGAGAAAGAGAAGGGAGACAGAGCTAGAGAAAGAAAGAGAGCGACGGAGAGCTAGAGCTAGGGTGAGAGACGGAGAGCTAGAGCTGGAGAGAGACGGAGAGCTAGAGCTGGAGAGAGAGGGAGTGCTTTAGAGAAACAGAGACAGCCAGAGAGATCGAGAGAGACAGATAGAGAAGGAAAGACAGAGAGAAAAAGAAAGAAAAAGAGATAAGTAAGAAGAGGGAGAGCGAAAAAAACATACGGAGAGCAACTGGACTTACATTGTACGAGGATAACGCGCCTGTCCACTTGCAGCCGTCCTCCTTTCTCTCACACATAATTATTAACTCTCCAATACGGCGTTTCATGAATCGATCTTCCACCAACTGCAGATTTGAGTGGATGACGCCAAAACAATACCATAATTATATCTAAACTTTATAATGTTCCCAATGGATGGGTACATGCATCGAGAAGATTACGTTTGATTGTACGAGACTTTGAGGTCGGCAGGTTTCAAGAACGTGTGCGTGTGTGGAGGGGGGGGGGGGGGGGACGGGACATACTGTAAAGTAAGGAATTTTCGCTATATTCGCTACCAGCAAACTTTCGCGAATACATATCACCGCAAACTGCTCTGTGCATTGATTTTTGACTGTACAAGATAGCATTGAACTTGAAGAGATTAAAATTTAATCGTGAAAGTTTCTTGTTGTGGACCTGCGCAATTCTTGAGAACGCAAAATTTGCGCGCCGCAAAAGTATATCGCTTTAAGCCCGATTAAAACTTCATGTCGCGTTCGGGAAACGCGTCGCGTGGCGAAAAGGTTGATCTGAGGTCAACTATTTCGCGTACGGGAAACCCATCGCGCGACGGTCACGCGATGGGTTTCCCGTACTCGAGATGAAGTATGAATCGGGCTTTATAGGCCATTCACACGACGTGCAAACATTTGCACGCGTGTGACCAAGATAACACGGGCAAACCATGATCCAGTTCACACGGTGCTGGGCAAACTTTGCAACCGTCAATGTATCCATAGTGACTCCCCGAAAATGCCGGGAAATGTTAAATTTTGAATTTTCCTTTGTTCAAGCACTGCATTTGCAGTACGCACTTTCAACAACCGACACTTTTCCTGGCGTGCAAAGATAATCGCGAGCAAAAGGGCCTTGGCCAAGATAAAAAAATTGTTGCTCGCGTGTGTCCAAGTTTATCGTATCCGAGTAATTATCCTTGGAAACGGTACGATAAAAGTAAGTTTGCCCGTCGTGTGAATGGCCTATTACAGTACACGTAGAAAGCGTCACTGCCAAGTAAATGACCCAATTGGACGCTGTGGGTTTTGCAGCCACTCACATTCTCTATTCACGCACCAAATAATTGATATTTTAAATTGCAGTGAGGAACAGCACAACAAGTATGCGCATGTGTTTGTGCGCATGTGTGCGTGTGCGTGTGGGTGTGTATGTGGGCGTGTGAATGTTCTATATGTATATTAAATAGCTTACGTCCTCTGGCACGGCCCAAGACAGCGCTCCTCTGTCCAATGGACATTGCTCATTATGCCTGTGAAAACAAAGTTACCAGAATATACACAGAGAACACAGAAGACAAACACACACGCACAACACACACGCACAACACACACGCACAACACACACGCACAACACACACGTGCATTCATGTTCATGTACATACACGCGCACACACATACACACATAATTAACACTAACAATAACCAGTCGGTACACGGTCTTGTTATCATGAACTCTCTTTGTCTGGTGGGAGAGAGTAATGCTGTGCGACCTTGCGATGTGGTTTCAATAAATATACGTGAATGTGTGCACATGGTCATGCAGACCGTTTAATTCCAAACGTGTGACTTACTTGAGGGATTCGGTTATGCAGCTGTGGCAGAAATGATGGCCACACCTTACCACTAGCATGGGGTGGCGTAAAACCCCGTTGCATACTGAGCACATTAATTCTTGTTCTGGCGGCGTGATGAAAGCATCGCGGTCGAAGCCACCCCAGTTGTTTGACGGCCATGTCACCATGGCCGTGTATTCTAACCCAGACGGTCTTTTTGATGCTGCTATTATTGCTGCTGTTGCTTGTGCTTGTGCTGCTGCTGCTTGTGCTGCCGGTGCCTCTGGTCCTGCTGCTGCTTGTGCTGCTAGTGCAGCTGCTATTGCTGCTGGTGCTACTGCTGCTGCTGGTACTGCTATTGTTCCTGGCATTGCTGCTACTGCTGGTGCTGGTAGTGCATGTGCTCCTCCTTCGTCGTCGGATGATAGCACTAGGATTGGAGAAGCTGGTCCTCCTCCTGGTGCAGGTGCTGGTACTGCTTCTGGTCCAGGTACTGTATAATCCTCATCTGATAAATATCGTACGAGGTTAGTATGACCCTCGGCATGGTACACAAGGGCATGTGCTTGGTACATCACGACATGCTCTGCTCCCTGTTCTGGATCTGGACCTTCAGCCATCGTGCGGATGTCTGCTAGACCGCTGATAGTCCTGCTGGTGTTGGTGCTGCTGCTACTGGTGCTGCCGCTGCTTGTTCTGAAGTTTCAACGTTACACTACCTCGGGTGGGAACGCTGACATCAAATGGATCTGCACAGGCGTTGGGAAAGCTGACTTGAAGGCAATCACCTGCTTATATACTGGTGCATACATTCCGTACACTCACCGGTATACCGGCAATCTGTCTACGGAGAGTTGTATTTGTTCAAGTATGATACTCGACATCATGATAATTGTACGTGCACTGGATCAGTACAAATCCGTGGAGCAATCGTGAAAACCTAGCACCGTGCGTATCGGTTATGGTGTGGTTGGGTTAAGGAATATACATGTACATGTATTGCTAACAAGAATGAACTCTCATATTTTCATAGCATGGGTTTCAAATGAACATTCCTACAAGTGCATTTAATGTTATCGCCTAGTAAAATATATCGGTCCAAAGATTAGACTTTGAGTAGCAAAACTTGCCAGCTTAGTGTATCGCTTGTAGCAAGAGCAGACAAACAAGCGTGTGCAACTCTGGATCTCTTCTGCACAATCTGCAGACACTCCCGCCCGCTGTGGAATGTTTTTAGTTGACGTCACATTTTTTCAGAAAAGCGCATATTTTGCCGCAGATCAGTGTGAGAGCGCGTGCTGGGCACCGATCTTGTAATGTGAAGCCCGGCCAAGTGCGCGAGGCAACACTATCCAAAAGACTCGCAGCGCGTGTGTGGTTGAAAAATATTACGGCAACAATATTCCGCCGCGGGCCAACCCATCCCGGAGTAGCACACTCTTGTTTACCTACTCTTGCTTGTAATAATACTTCAGTAGCATCTGTTCCGTGCAGTACTGATCCGACTGCAATTGCACAGCAGTGCTACAGGTTTTACGGCTGTGGGCATGTAACTCATGTTGCCTAGCCACGTGGTAAGCCTATGGGACTATGAACAGCCGCATGCACAGCAGCACGACATTTACGTTGCAGGTACGATGACCTTCCTAGTTTTGTTTAGTTTGGTTTATATTATCAGTTCATTGCTTAAACAGTACAAAGTACAAATATCAAGAGGGACGGACGAATAGAGAAAGTAAAACAGAGGAAGATGCAACTGGGAGGAAAGAAAAATGGAGAAGGCATGTGGACCGGGTGGATTCATGAGCCATTACTAGAGCGGGGCAAGACCTGAACAGCAGGGGCAATTGCGTTGATATTCATGTTTAAAAAATACCTAGCCTTATTTTATTGGAACTTGAACATTGTGGGCAGAAGTTACATGATCGAGTCCACTAACTGAACCAGATGGTGAACAGTCAGACTTGCTTAATCTAGCATAAAACTGACAAGGAGTACTGAGAAATTCCACGGCATGAAGGTCAGAGTCGAGCGCTAACCAACGGCCTTCCAAGTTTCTTTGGAGACCAAATATATTAGAGTTCACAGAAACCTGTAGGTCACATACATGCATTCGATTTAGCAGGGGAGCTGTGCTGGTCCACGGTAGAGACTTGCAGACTGCCCGAGCGGCACGTTTGAACAGACTATGTAGCCGTTGTTCATTACAAACTGACAAACTTAGTAAGGGTAGTAACTAATAGAGGTATACAAAAACTCTGTCAAAATGATAGATCTGAAGTAGGTGAGTCATCATGGATATTGAAGCGAAGAAGCATGTCCCTGTGGGACAGCAAATTTGCAGGCAACGGAGACGAGCAACAAGGTCCACCATTCTGGTCCGAGTCAAAATCCCCGCAACACTCAACAGAACTAATTTTGTCGCTCCATCCACTTGCACCACCATCCTTTCCTGCTCCTGGACAACACACTACTAAAACTCCCAATCAACCTGCCCAATTATCTTCATCCTTCTCAGGGCTCTCACTTAACTTCCGCTCCATGGTGAAAACGCTAGCGGACCTTAATCAAGTCTGTAAGCAGTATTCTCCAGACATAATTTGCCTATGTGAAACGTGGCTGCCAGCTGCTATAGACATCTGAATTCTAGGTTACACGTCAAACGGTCTGGACCGCCCACCTACGACCTGCTCTGGTAATCTGCAAGCAAGAGGCTATGGCGGAGTTGCTGCTCTTGTATCTGACAGGTCGTTCATCTCCATCAAGCGCCGCTTCGACCTTGAGCCCTGTGGACTGGAAGCAGTTTGGCTCGAATTGCGGCCAGTGACCGTTCCCTCACTTCCCCTTAATATCTGCTCTGCTTACAGACACCTTGGAGACAGCATCTCCCAAGTCAAGGCATTTAGTGAGCTTCTAGAGGACTGTCTTTCCAGAATCAGCCTCCCCAATTCTGCTTTTGTACTCGCAGGTAACTTGAATGTTCACCACTCCGAGTGGTGTGCTAGTGACAACCACAAATCGTGCTGGAAGAGAGTTCCATAACCTCTTCTCTTGTTTTAACCTTGAGCAAATGGAGACATTCCCCACACACTTCAACCCCCCCCCCTCCCCCCGGTTTCTCATCGTGTATTCCCATTGGTATTGTTGTCCAGTGTAACTTCAGTTGTCCTCTTTCCCTGATTATTAGTAGGGCTGTGTTCGCTAACAAAAATGAATATTTAAAAAAATTGACGTTATACTCACGGATCATCCTCACCTGCTACTGTCTGTCGCATTTGTTGCTTCTCTTGGTGCATCTCTGACCACGCACAAATCCTCAGTCATTTACTACTGCCGACTGATGCTGGGTTTTTGTTTTTTTGTTTTTACTATTGACACAGCCCTACTGAAAAACAGGTGGAGAACAAAAAGAAATGAGGGAAAGGACGAAACATAGGGGATGTAGGGACGACGTGCTGATGTGCTGGGAGCAACTTAGCCGACCAGAGGTCTCGGTGTCAGCGTTGCAACTAGCCATCGAAAAATGAATGGGGGGGGGGGGGGCGGTTGCACAAGTACAACTGGAAAACAAAAAGAAGCCAGAGGGTATCACAAAAATAATAACTTGGTGCGAAATAATGAGAAGAAAATAATGACGCCCAAAAGCGCTAAATACGAAATTATGAAAAGGGAAAATCATAAACCACATAGCGCTAAAGCTGCAGCAAATAATAATTTAAATTATAACTAAACCGGGTAGAAAACCAAGAAATCATAACAAACAAAGCAAACTAATAATAAAAGGTAAATGAAGCAAAATATACAAATAATCTACGTGGGGGGGGGCAATCTACGTGGAGACGAGAGAGCTTGGAAGCTCAGGGCCCTACGCTATGCTTTTATGCCTTTTTGCCTAGCTCATCGTACATGTTATAAGAACTGATGGAAATGTCTTTTTCCGTTGATTGGCCACATCACCGTATTGCAAAAACGTTTCAATCGGTTTCAATATTATGAGTTAGGCAAAAGTATTTGCAGAATTTATTGCGGATTGTTATTTCTCTAATAATCATCTACTTTTGGTTTGTTCCTTCTTTTCTTTTTATCTCCTTATACTGTAAATCAAGAATCTTTGGCCGATGAGAAATAGAAACCTCTCTATTAGAGAGGTTAAGATGCACGTTATTTCCGACGTGGCGCGCAATTTCACGTCAAATTTGAAACCGATCGGTATTTTTTCTCTCTCATGCATCCATTGCTCAATCTTGCATCATTTGCCTATGACAAACTTTGGCCTGCGATTTACTTTGGCCGGTTGGTACCAAGCGGCGAAATCAGCGAAATTAAATCGCCAGCAAAAATTAGTTGATATTAATACAGTAATCGGATTTTCTGGCCTTTTTGTAGTAATACATGTACATTGACCTGTTGAGTCAATGACTTCGCCGAATGCTTGGTTGCCTGTGGAGCACATTACATAACTTTACAGCCTCCTAAAATACGTATCCTGTCCGACGGCAAAAGAGGCTGCAAATTTAGTTTTTCTGCGCGTCGACGGGATGTCTGCGACGCGAAAGTTCAGCTCGCGTTATTTGGCTCGCATGTCGAAAAATCAACACGAGTAACCTGATGCTCACGTCGAAATTTGGACATTACATAACTTTACAGTCTCCTATAATACGTATCCTGTCCGACGGCAAAAGAGGGTGCAGATTTAGTTTTTCGACACGTCGACGGGATGTCTGTCCTGACGTTTACTGGGACCGGCGCTGACTCTGCCGATCACGGGCGGTCTGGACTCGACGGGATGTCTATCCTGACGTTTCCTGGGACCGGCTTAGACTCTGCCGATCACGGGCGTTCTGGACTCAACGGGATGTCGGTCCTGACGTTGCCTGGGACCGGCGGACTCTGCCGATCACGGGTGTTCTGGAGTGGACGGGATCTCTCTTCCGACGTTTCTTGTGACCGGCGCTGAATCGCTCGTTCACGCTTATTTTGGAGACGACGGGATCTCTCTTCCAAAGTATGTTTATGCTGACGCATCCTATCACCTATTCGGCGTCTATTCTAATTTAATTTCCTCCTCGTCTCCCTATTTCTTTCCAAATCTCCCTCTACATCAGGGAGTCGTATACATAATACGACGAATATTGGTACGGTACGGGACAGATACAGGAGCCCGCAAATATTGTGGACAGCTGTTATGTACAATCCTGTAGAGCCTTTGTAGTCACAGATACGGGACAGATACGGGACAGATACGGGATAGCTCCAGCCGTGACACAAACAAACAAACAAACAAACAAACAAACAAACAAACACCAAACGAGAGAGCTTGGAAGCTCAGGGCCCTGCGCTATGCTTTGTTGCCTAGCTCATCGTGTATGTTGTTAGAACTGATGGAAATGCTTTTTAGCTTTTTTTAGCTACATCATTGTATTGCAAAAACGTTTCACTGAGATACTGAAGTCACGTCTTCTGCATAGCTATGGGACCAGCGCTGACTCTGCCGATCACGGGCGTTCTGGAGTCAACGGGATGTCTGTCCTGACGTTTCCTGGGACCGGCGCTGACTCTGCCGATCACGGGCGTTCTTCTTCTTCTTATTATTATACTGACGGCAACTAACATCCATTCTGATTGCATTTACTCGTCTCCCTACTTCGTATTTCTTTCCAGAAAATCTCCCCATACAGCAGGGAGTCGTTTACAGAACATGACACCCTGCTATACATCTACATGACTGTATATACGTTATAATTATTATGCT